GCTCAGGGGGTCTGAATTATTGGGACCAATGCTAGCTGACCAAATAAAGCTTTACAAACGCCCGCAGCGCAGCCATTAAAACCCCCTGTCCCAGCACATGTTCGATATCAACGGCTGAGATAACCAACCATGAGGATCATGATAGTTTTCATCTGAAACAACCAAATTTACGTTATCGTGTTTCCGAATATAACCATCCCCTATTCCTTGTCACCGCTTACATCTATCGAGATTACATTGCTATATATGCTGCTCGGTAGAAGTTTAATTCTTGTGGTCACTGGTGAGTGGCAACTAAGCTCCACTGGATTTCAATCGTCGATGCAGACCTCGTTGGGGCTCCCTTGGAATCAAGCAACTCACACGTCGGGCCAAGTCAGGGTCTTAGTTGGTGTCCCGAAGGGAGACTAATCATGCAGGAAGCGTGAATGTGCGCAAGAAACAGCTGTCACAGTCGATCATTACTTCATCTTGGATGGTTTCGGGCATGGTATTCCCAAGCTCATCCGTCCCAAGCTTGTGAAACTTGGGGCTCAATCACCATAATCACCTCGAAGTTTAGGATGCTCTTAGGGAAAGTTACCCTAAGTTTAGGATAGACTTATGATATCCTTCGAGAAATTTGTTTAAGATTTTGATGGTACCTGGGGATCTTGCTGGGCAAGATTTCCTTTTTTTATCATGCTTAAAAAAGTTCGGCTAATTATAATCAGGATTAGGAAAATAAACGACTGCATCACGATCCCCAGCCCAAACATTCTCAAGTCTCATGGTGGTTTTCCTCAGAGTCAACGAATGTCAGGAGCATAATTCGCCTAGCAAACGTTACATAGACCCATCTGTATGAAGTATATCATAACTCAGTTCCCAACCATCTTGAAGCGAGCAAATCTCGTTTCGATCGCGTTTCTCCATAATCTTCTCCCCAGTTGATCCAAGCAAATTTCCATGCACCTCGTCGGCTTCTGATGCACAGATCAGCTTACATGTCGTGCATGTCCAATTGCTATCCGATTATCTTCGAGAGTTGTACGTTGTTATGATGCTCATGATCCGACTCTAAATCATCGAAACACCGACGTCACTCATGCTGTACTCCATCCCTTGAGGCATTCCGTTTCGTAATTGCTCTGATCATGCTTATTTTCAACCCTGGCATTGACTTCAATGCATCTCCACTCACTCGGTCGTTCTTAAAACGTCCGTATTTCCGTGACGCGCCATCACTGTCGATACTTGCCTCATTAGTAGGACTTGATACTGTATTCCTTTCTTGAAGGTGACAGTCTAGTACACACCATAGTTGCAATTCTTGCGGATGCTGCCGTCCATAGTCCATCCGTGAATCAATTTAATGTCCAAAACTGTGTCTATTCTTAGTTGCACTCCACCTCTAATCAAACTAAATTCATGTCTTTTAAGCAAGCTTGATGCTCCAATCCTCGCCAATTTTGGCTCCAACTCGGCCCACAACCGCAAACGCTGCGCGGCTGCCCTTGGCTGCGTGATATTGAACTTTAGCCGTCCATGTTCGTCCCTCAGACTCGACCTGCACCTCCTTCTGGTCCCAGGTCTTGGGCGCACCGACAATGATGACCTTGTCAACGTGCACCTTCTCCATGGCCTTCAGCCAAGGGCCAGACTTGATAGACTTGGTGTCACGTCCCTCGGCCTCGATAGAGGTCAGGGTATTTCCACTAAGTGTAAACTTGCGGTGAATGTATTGACCTTGCTCGTAATCAAACGAGTCGCCATCATCCACATAGAGCTCACCCTCAGCAGTGCCAGCCTTCGAGGCTGAGACAACAAGCGTGTAGTCATCAAATCGCATCAGAGCGCTTGATCGTCGGGGAATATCTCGTCGAGGGATGATATGACCACCTCGCAATAGAACAGGAATTTTGTCAAGGGGCGCGCTCACTGCAAGATATTTGCCCTTGCTGGTCTTTTGAACGTCGTAGGTAAAGTAATCGTAGTAGACCTCGTCATCAGGAATCCAAATATCGACGGACTCCTTGTTCTGTTCTGTAACTGGCTTCACCAAGAGGCCAGTTGAGCCGACGAAGAACTGATCTTCAAGAGCAAAACCAGCCTCCTCGGAGGGATGGGTCCAGAACATAGGTCGAATAATGGGGCTTCCATCCTGGGCGGCATTGTAGAATGCAGTGTACCAAGCCGGGAGAAGCGAGTATCGGAGTCGGATTGCTGCGGTTGCAATTGGCGTGTAATGCTCACCTAGGAGGTAAGGCTCGCGCCGGCGAGCATCAATGTGGGCATGAGCTCGGAAAAAAGGATACCAGATACCAGTCTGATACCAGCGGACGAGAAGATCTTTCTCGGGGTTACCGAAGAAGCCTCCGACATCAGCACCGGCAAAGGGGAAGCCGGAAATTCCTTGGTTGATGGTCATGGGAATAGATGTAGCCAAGTGTCCCCAGTCGGCCTGGTTATCTCCGGTCCACATGGCACCAAGCTTTTGCGATCCGGCGTAGAAAGCTCGAGTCAGAATGAATGGTCGCCGAAGCTCGCCTTTCTCGCGGTGAAGGAGAGCCTGGAACGTCGCATTCTGGAAGGTCAAGCCGTTCAGGTTGTGGACATCACGGTGCTCCCATCCTCCGTGGTGAATGTTGTCTTTGGGCATAGTCACCTCAGGTCCGTTGAAGACTGAGGGCTCGCTCATATCGTTCCACATCCAAGTGTTGGACATGGTTCCCTTGAACTTGTCAAACTTGAGCATAGTCTTCCACCATTCGATGGCCTTGGGGTTGAAGCAGTCGATCCAGTTGGACGCTCCAGGCCAGCACCATCCTTCATAGAGCTTCTGCTCCTTGTCATGAACCCCAAGGTCTTGAGCGACCAACTCTTCGGAAGCAGGATAGTTCTCGGTTTTCTTGATATGAGGGTCAAGTAGAACAACTAGTTGACGGCCATGAGCGTCGAGGTGCTCACCCATGTCAATGGGATCGGGGAACGAGTGAGGCTCCCAGGTAAAATACTTGCGATCATCTGTATACTCGAGGTCGAGCCAGATGACGTCGTATGGAATCTTGTGCTTGTCCATGTTGCGATCAACATTTCGAACATCATCGCTGGAGATGTAGTTCCATCGGCATTGGTGGTATGCAATAGCAAATTCTTGAGGCATAGCAGTATAGCCAGTCAACTCGCCGTAAGTCTTGGTGAGGTCCTGGGGCGTAGGGCCAAGAAGAACAAAGACATCCAGAAGACCAGCCTCGGAGATCCAATGAGTATGAGTGCTAGTCTTACCACCAACTCCAAGGCTTAAAGGGTTCATCTGGTTCTTGGCCTTGGTAATGTCGACCCAAGTTTCGGCGACGTTGAACCAAAAAACGCCAACTGACGAGCCTTTGCGATGCGCCTGCATGAAGGGAATGGAGCCGTAAAGTGTCATCGGGCTGTCGAGAATGTATTCGAAAACGTCGGCGTTGTACATACGGTAAGGCTCGTCGTAGTTGCCGTCTCCGCCACGGGTCTGCTTCAGTGATAGAGGACCAGTGTGTTCCGGAATGCCAAACACATGCTCGTACCCGTGGAAAGTGATGTCCAAAGCAACACTTTCGGGTCCTCGGGGTTTGGTGTCAGTATTTCCACCGAAAGATTCGTCCCACCATGTACTCTCATCTTCAGCGGCTTCCTCGCCTTCCTTGTTCTCAATCTTGGGCCTCCAGTGCTCCATGTTGAGCAAACCACGGTCGTTGAACTTGACATGCGAGTTACCATCACGTCGGAAGTCGATTTCGAAAGGCGAGAACTTGATGATGGCTTCCTGCTTGGCCTCGGGTCCATACTTGATGTTGATCTGAGACTTATCTTGGAAAGCAAGTTGAGCCTCCTTGTCAAGGTCCAAACCACCGACAAGAACCCAATTGTCCGCCTCGTTATATCTTTCCTTTCGGACAGGGCTATCGTCTCGCAAAATCACATCCTTGTTGCGTCGCTTCTCTTCGTCCATTGTGACTCGGGCGGCACCAGACTTGAAGAATGAAATTGTAAGGGGTAGACGGACGGTCTCTCCATGGCTATTGATGGTCTTGACAACCACGGCCTGCAATTTTCCCTCCTCAAAAACTGTCGAATCGGCCGAGATCTCATATGGGGCTTTCCAGTTCGAACCTTGGGCGACAGCGTTGTCGGCATAGGCGCGATTTCGTTTGCAGAAGCCGGATTGGTCGCATTTCTTGAAGTCCTTGTCTTTCACGGCAACTGGGAAGACTGTGAGCAGAGCCTTTCGTCAACACACACTTAAAACTTACTAGCTGATTCGAAAAGACACGTAAAGGTGCTTAGCAGCAGCAATAGCGCCGTCCATCGAAAGGACGACGCCGTATTCGACTTCATGATGTTGAGACGGTCAGGAACCAGAGTTCAGGTACGAAGAAATAAATGAACGAGAAAATGGTCAATTAAATCGAGAAAGCACAAGGGCGTCAGATATGGTCCCCTGGCCTATATCCTCTGTCCAGTCGCTGGTTTAAGAGAATGTTATTGTTGTTTATGCTGGGAAAACCTCAGCTTTGATGATGTCGAAGTCAAGTCAAGCTGTCCCTAAGCTCCCCTGTGAAACTCCATTCCGGATTGGGGTTGATTCCAGACGCAGGGGAGTGGATACCTGGATGGCGGGGCAGCTTCGATAGATGATTAGACCCGTTAATCAAACATTTCAGTTCTCGATTTCTGAGCTGAGTTCTTGTGTTGGATGCACTGTAAGAAACTCTTATTGATGCAGGTACAGTTCATTTAAAGGCTTTGATTTTGTAAGTCGAAAAGTTTCGCTACTCTCCAAGTTCTTTTTATATGAATCTGGTCTTCCTTTGAGCTATACCAACTCTCATAGTATCGTTCATTTGTCTTTTCTAATTCACTCCTTACTCCTGTTCTCTTGTTCAGTAATTTATATCTGTCCTCGACAACTAATTAAATCACGTGTCCGTGTGAATTCTCCAGATCTCGCACCCAAGACCCCTCAACGCCAACTCATCATGGCTGTAGAGGAGCCCCGCCAACGAGAAGACCCCGCCGCCAGCGGCAAGACTTGGAAGCAGCAGCAGGGACGGAGAAGTGCGGAAAATCTGGCCCCGCGATTTTTTGCTGTTCTCTTCGCCCTCCTCGCCCTTTATATCCTCTTTTCACCGCCTTCTTCAAGCCTTTCCCCTCCAGTCGATCTCTCCCCTACCTCTAATTCTCACTCTGTTCCTACATCTCAAGTCATACCAGACAAGAATATCGGCAAAATGTCCTCCTCCGAGCAGACGTAAGCTACCCCGCCATCAAGCTTCACTCCATCGTGGTTGATGCTCCTGTTGGGGATATTTGGCTAACTTGATTGTAGCTTCATCGCTATCAAGCCCGACGGTGTCCAGGTAAACAAACAGACCTGGACGGTTAAACAATTGGGTTGAAAAGAGCTAACAATGTTCCCATAGCGTGGCCTCGTTGGTCCCATCATCTCTCGATTCGAGAACCGAGGGTGAGTAGTTTTGCATGCCGTTGTTGCTATAGCTATTGACTTTTTACAGTTTCAAGCTTGCTGCCATCAAGCTCGTCACCCCCGGCAAGGAGCACCTCGAGAAGCACTGTGCGTCATTCCCCAAAGTCGTTCGATATATCAATTCGCCCTAACATCGTTATAGATGCCGATCTCGCTGGCAAGCCTTTCTTCCCTGGTCTGATTGAGTGTATGGCTCCCGAATCTAATTGATACAAACAAATCTAATTTTATGTAGACATGAACTCTGGCCCCATCTGCGCCATGGTCTGGGAGGGCCGTGATGCTGTCAAGACTGGCCGTGGTAAGTTTCCAATCATTGAATATTGCTCACCATTTTCTAATTGGACATTCAGCCATCCTCGGTGCCACCAACCCCCTTGCCTCTTCCCCTGGTACCATCCGTGGTGACTTCGCCATCGATGTCGGCCGCAACGTCTGCCACGGCTCCGACTCCGTCGAGAACGCCCAGAAGGAGATTGCTCTCTGGTTCAAGGAGGGTGAGGTCGTCTCCTGGAAGTCCGCCCAGTTCAACTGGGTCTACGAGAAGGCTTAAATTGTCGATGTTGTAACGCCCTGAATGACGGAATGGAAAAAGCACATACAAGTGGGATGACTTCATCTCTGTGGGTATAGCAAAAATCAAAGACAGAAAATCTTCTCAAAACCTTCGTGCTCGATTTCAAAGTGATTTAATGTTTGCGTGTGAATACTCCTTTGGCTCTCATGAGTATCCCGGCAAACCATGGCGTAGCCCATACACTGCCGATGATACGAACCGGCAGTAAAGCCTTAGTGATCGTGTACGCGAGAGCAACTTCAACTACCACTTTGTACCGCCCATCTCCACGATGCCAGCGCTCCATAGCTTCCTCGGATTTGGAGTCCGGATGTGTTGTAGCCGCATTTGAGGCCTCAGCTTCTCCGTTCTGACCGAAACCAAACCACCCCTTGCGTGTGAAGTACCTCTCAAAGCGGCCAACTCCATCTTCGACATAGCTTCCAAAGTGGCCCGTTACGTATTCCACTGGCACATAATTTGTGTAATGAAAGAGACCAAACAGCCCTAGCACGGGCACAATTGCTGTGATCTCGTGAAGGATCAAGAATGAAACAATGTGCGAGACTGGAGCGTTGCGTAAACCGCTAGTGTATCTTTGTAAACGTCGAGGAAGCTTAGATGTGATGCGGTCGATGCGGGAAGCTTGGGTTGACGAGGCGCGAGGGTATGAGGTGTTGATGCGCGGGGGAGCGCGAGCACGGAGGCTAGGGCGGCAATTGAAAGATGTGAAGTTGCGACGCATAATAGGATTAGATATCCAAGCTTGGGCGAGTTGCCTTGTTGGTAACGTTGAGTACATCGAGAGTTTCGACGGTCGACGCTGAAATTCTATGTGGAGCTGCTGACGGCTTGATTTGTCCCGCGATCCGGCTATAGTTCAGGGTAACCAGCTTGCCAACAAAGCAATAAATCGTCAATTGTTTGCTTTGCATTTGTCGATCTGAACTTCTTTGTGCGATTCGATATTAATTGATATTGAGACATGCTATGGTAAATACCATCGGGGGCTTTCGTGAAAAGAATCATACATCGATTGCGCTTGTTGTGACATTATCACACTGCGTGCTTCAAAAAAAAAGTCTATGAGTGAACCTCTAAATTACCGTGCTGGAGATTGTAGTACACCTTGGAGACATTTACCGGAATCTGATTTTATCGATACAAAAGTTGACGCTAAGTCTTGGATTTCGGATCTTTGGATAAAGAAGCTCTGCTCAGACACACAGAGATACCTAAATGAGGCCATTGTGGTCCTCGCCCGTTCTTGAAACACCGTCAATGATCTCTCCTTCCACTACGAGATATCTACACGTCGAACCCCAACAACCTTCACATGACGTGGGAAAACATGTGGTCATGCCAAAATACAAGCTCTGAAGGCAGGCAACGAGTATTGTCCGCGTCATCTGCATCTGTGTTCTTTCCTCGCCAGTCCACATTGCCTGTTTGTGATGGATAGGCTCCTGCCCAAGACGCAAGACAATGACCTCAGAAGTCCCAACAAGTTCCTCAGAATGAAGCGACTGTAGCTGAGGAAGAAGGAACTCAGTCAAAGTTCTTACCCATGACAGAATGCCAGTCTTTTAAGACTCTTCCCCGTCTGTTCTCTTCTCCTCTTCATCTTCCTTCATCTGCATCCCGGTTCTCACAAATCCTTCAATCTGTTGCCTCAACTCACTCATTCAATCTTAAAAGCCTGCAACCAACACCCGGGAACTCATTCCTGAAGCAAGTCCTTCATTCAAAAACATGGTCTCCATCAAGTTAGCGGCCGTTGGTGCCCTTCTGGCAACTGCCCAAGCCCAAATTCGTCACCCCAATGAGGACCTGATTCTTGCCGATTGTGGCATTGGCGACAACAAAGCCCACCCTGGATGGTCTACTTCTCGCCAGGTGAACTGGTACCAGGATATTCAGTGGCCTGACGATGTCTCCAAGTTTCCCCCTCCACCTGATCTGGAGGTTGAAGTTCCTTACGCAGATGGAACCTACCCCTGGAATCCCAAGGGAACCACCGTCAAGCTGTCTAATGGTGTCGTCTGGACAGCTTACATCAACCCAAGAATCGCTGACGGTCAACCAGCTGGGTCTGCCGTCACCACCAAGGAAGGTGGTCAAGAACTTACCTGCTATGCCTACCGTGGTCGCCCTGTCAGCGCAGCCATCAACACGACTGTCAACGCTGATGCGGTCTGCTTGACTGCCTTTGTCTGCAACCGAGATAACCGCGCCCCCCCTCGTCCCAGTGGCATGGAAAATCCCACTTCTACCTTGGAAACATCTTCTGCTCCGCCTGCCACGACTACATTTGTCTCACAGCCGCCAGCGACACCTACTCCCACAGGTGGTGAGCCAAACCCTCCAGCTGACCCCAATGCTGGCAAGCTATTTGTGTCTATTCTCCTCAGCCCTCGTTTCATCAATTGGCCCAACACTTGGCAAGCGTTTATCGAGAAGTTTTCCTGGGATCGGAACACTGGAAAGTGCGTGGGTGAACCGGTGAAAGGAGACGGGTACACCATTAACATCGACTGTGCTGGCATCCAAATTGATTCTGACTCTCATATGACGCTTATCATGATCAAAGCTCTCCATGACCTTGGCATGAATAGCACATTCTTCAACCAGAACCCAACCGTACCAGGAAAGCGCAACTCCACAGCGGATCATTGGGTGGTCATGCCTGAGTCTTTCAGTCTGCAGGCCATTGATGTTTCTCATCAGAAAACCATCGGATACCTCGCATACAATACTACATACGACAATTTCCTCACTGGCCCCTGCTCGTCTTGCCAATCTGAGCGATTCAACAAGGAGTTCTTTGATCCGGTTCTGGAAGCTGTCAAGGGAACCTACCCTCTCTACAACAGCTACAACATTCAGGCCCAGTGCAGTCCGTGGATGGCATGCTGGTAAAACGGGAGGGCAGTCTCTTTCATCCGCCCTCTGTGTGTAGTGAGTTTTGCGGCGTGTGGTGGTCATGTGGCTTATGAGGAATGAGAAAGGGGATGACCAATTTTGGTGGCTAATATGGTATTAATTCCTTCTCTTCGCGATATGTATTTCAACGACTTTACTCTACTCTATGATGAACCATAGTTATATCATTCATTGCAAACACAACTGAACTTTGTTAAGAAGATTTACGTGACGGGCCGACTGACGCTACTTTTCAAACTAAATGAACATCTCTCCAGGAGGACTCGCCAGTGATGTGCTCTCCAAACATAGCACCGTGAACGTAAGCATCGCCGACAAGCTCAAAGAGGCTCTCCGAAGGACCTGATCTTCTAAGGACCAATGGGGCTGCACAGCCAGCAACGATCATGATTTTATCCCCTGTCTTGGCCTGAAGTGGAACTAGACACAAGTACCCTCGAATGGTTCTCGCAATACGTCTTCTTGCAGCAAGATTGACACGTAATAAGGCTTCGAAAGGAGCGGACGACTTGCCCCAAGAAGCGAACTTGGCAGCCTTCTCCGAATCAGTGTCAACTCGAACACTAGGGTCGTGGCGTAAGCCAAGTTCAAACAATAACGGAATAATGTCACTAGATTTGGGTAGAGTATTAGTAGAGTCTCGAGTGTTAGCCAGGGTCCAGAGAGGCTCTAGGGCATCGAATTGATCGTATATAGATGGGTTCTGTTGCTGATAAGAGATCAGGGCTTGGATGGTGAGAAGAAGCATCCACTTAGAGAAGGACTTGGCGAGATATGATGGTGCAGGCCTCTGAGATAAGTCGCAGTCCATAATAAGAGTCCGCCAGAAAGCTTCAACTATTGGTTGGCCCGTAGGTATGTACGTTGTGCCGCAGTGAAGAAGCATCTTCATCGTGTCGTTGAACTTCCCTTGGATAACATCAGACCAGCTCTCGCCGAGCTCTTCGATTGTACCAAGATGAGGACTAAATATTTCAATGCTTAGATGGAATAGAGACCTGTCAATTGTGAAGTCTGCTTCTTTGCCCGCGGCGGCATCGAATGGAAGCATTCTGGTATAGCTGGGGCCAAGAACAGGGACGTGAACGGTCTCGAAAGAGGGGATCCAGGTTGGCAAGTCAGCTGGCACGGCACGGCTGGTGATACCGGCGAGGGATAGGAGATGTAGAGATTTTGTTTCTGTATAGAAGCTGATGCCCAGATCTATAAGGATGTCATTGTCAGGAGATTTGTAGTCTACAATGACGTCGAGTCGAGGTCTCCCTTTCGCACGCTCCATGAAGTTTACGATTCCCAGCAGAGAGTAAACACGATCTCTGGGAATAGTCGCCTTGAATCCGATGCTACTTAGCAATAGCTCAAGCAGCAGCTTTTTAGGGTGGTCTTGGCGTATCCCAACAGAATAATCAATACTTCTCAGGATCTCTTTGTACCGACTATTCTTGTCCTGGGCCCATTGGCGAGTAACATGAAGGCCAGCAGCATGGACGAGAGAGTAGATCAAAGGCGCGGTTTCTGATCCGGAGCCCACAGTAAACAGACCGATAAGAGCGCCGGACATGTTAATCAGCCCAGCTGTATCGCCAACAGAATCCCATGCTGTCTCGTGATGGCCGATGAGAACTCTTGGACTGCGAGAGAGGGCAACTTCTTGAAGCATCCAGACACGTCCGAACCACGGCCTTGTGTAGATATCTCGAAGAGTCAGCCAATCGTTCTCGGTAAGATTAGGAAGGCCATTCCTCTTGAGAAGCTCAGAGTCATCCATGATATAAGCATCGCCGTATGACTGGACCCTTCCCCATTCTATGATCTTAGACTCAGCGCCTTTCGCGATGTTCTGAACGAGCTCGATAGCCCTAGCGGTTTCATCTGTGGCAAGACCAAGCCATATTATTGTCTCGGCGGCTCGATTGTATATGAGATCCATTATTGCTACTTGGGCAGAGCGCTCGGGGAGACTTCTCTGGTTGATACAGATCCCATCCACCCAGAGGTACTGGCCTGATCTTGAGATGCATAATTGCTTGATTGCATTGTGTAAATTTTGCAACACTTGAAATGGCCTTGCATTTAGAAGAATTATGCCCTGGTCGAAGATTGTGTTCTGCGTAACCGGACCCCAGGTGTAAGACAGGGCGATGTATGGCGGACATTCATCGAGTTTGAAGGTCTGGAGTTTGAGTCTAGGAGATGAGCCGGATGCTGAATCTGATAGATGAATCAAGCGTATATGCTGATCCAAAATTCTGTCATCGTACTTGAACCTGGAAAACGCCCGAGAAGCATTGAAAAAAACATTCGAAAGCAAATGGTGTATATATCGTGATGTTGTCACGAGGATGCTTCGGAGATATTGAGCGTTGACGATGAGCACTATTATGGTGGCACCAGCAGCGAGACGGAATGGCTGGACCTGAGCTAGCAACTGAGCACCAGATCTCAGCCCGACCCTCATTTTGGCAGGAAGATGCAAAGCCGACGACTCATCTCCCAAAGCCTCACGGCTTTGTTGTAAGTGTTAAGATCCATGTGGGCTGTTGAATGTGCTTAGCCGCATTTGGTGACAGGCATTGCGCCAGCTTGAAGCCGAAAAGATTCATTTACCCGGAACAGGGATTGGGCAAGCGATCATAGCTTCTATATAGTTGGCATAAATATATCTTGCTCTGAATCGTATGAAACAAATCGTGCTGAGATTGACGGAACTTGTTGAAAAGGGTAGTACCATCCTTTGTACAAGCGATATTAAGACCTTGTTCACGAGCGGACTGCCTCTATAACAGAGGTCTATTCGTTTCATCGTATGAATCGCGAAGGTCTATATAGTCGCTATTATAGCCCGCAATTTGGAAGTCATCTGTCTCTGGGCCAGATGACTTTCTGTGTCTAATCATCAAGCCCATCTGAGTAGTAGTCAAACTGTTTCGGCACCGGTGCATCTTGTCCACCATGCCCATCTGGATCCACGTCTTCGTTCTTTGCTTTCGAACCACTTTCTACCGCCGCCGATTGCACTGGTTGTGTAGCCTGTGGAGGTGCCGACAACAAATGCCCTCTCAGCAATTTGGTCATCTCCCTGGCCCATTCCCACGGTCGTTCTTTTCCTCCAGGCAAACTGTTGAAGTACTCCCAGCCCATGATTCCTCCAAACGATCCATATCGCCCCCGTAGCGTCGTGAGCACCATGTTGAGAGGGTTCATCGGCACATAACCGCTTCCGTTCTCAGGGTTGGTGACAAGTCCAATGACGATCTTCTCCGGTGGCCAGCCCTTGCGGACCATGAGATCGTACATGAGGGGATTACTGCAATCTCCCCAGCCGCAGTAGAATTGTGTGTTGTACCAGGCGATATCACGACCGCGCATCACTTCGAGGGCCTCGTAGTCAAAGCCGCTGAGATTCTTGGTGAAGTCAAGAAGAGACATGGCGACTGGTGCCAGGGTGATGATGAAAGTTGGCCCAAAATCGCTGCGTAGACGGTCTATCAGCCGCACGATTCCTCCCAGGGTCATTTCCTCTTCGACATCCAGATCCAGACCGTCCAACCCACGCTCTCGAATCATGTCTTTCACAGGACCGTAGTACCGATCAAAGGTCTCTTGATCGGCATCCAGGCGTGCATAGCTGCCTTTACAAGCACCACCTAGCATGCCCATCACCTTCACACCCGAGGCTTGTAGCACGCGTAGCTCAGCCCACATAGTCTGGAAAATGGGGTGAGATGGGTGGTAATCATTGAGCGTGATCTTTTGAGGATCATCGTTGATGTGAATGGCGGCGACAATGACGTGGGTTATGGCGATACCGGGTTGTGTGATGAGAGAGAGGGGAGAGATGAGATTCCCCGAAGAGTCATGATGAGTTTGGTAATATGTGATCAGCCGCGGTAGAGGGTTCGCGGAAGGGGGAAGAGGGGGCATCGTGTATATGTTTGTGAGGTTGAGGATGAGCTGGCATTCTTGGAACTTGTTGAAGTTGTAAGCAACCCCAGAGCTTAGGTGGAGCTCGGGCGCTGAAGGTTTCGGTTCCAGCGGGTAGAGAGCCACTAAGCTTGGCAGCTACAGGGCCTAGTCCTTCACTGTCAACCTAGCTGAAGATCATATCTCTATCCAACAAACTTGATTTAAGATTATTGCTATGAATAAACTGACAATGGGTATCTCTTCTCAAATCAAAAGTCCTGGGCTCGTGCCTGTTCCTTTTCCAAATCCTGCACCCTGACCTTCTTGCCGACACATCTTCCGGGATGCCAGATAGCAAAGAGCAAGACAGCCAATGCCACAGGAGCAAACTCCAGACAAGCAAAGAAGATCTCGTTCGAATACAAATGTCCCCCAAGGCCTTCAGCTGTCTCTGCCAGACGGAAGCAGGTTCGCAGATAAATCATAATGGTAGCCACTCCGAAAGCAACGCAGAACAAGCTGAGCTTCTTGCCGCGCGAACTAACCTCCCTTCGAGCACGGAACAGGAATGAAGCCGTGAGGATAACGAACACACCGAGGGAGAAAACCTGGTACGCCAAACCTCCGAGAAGAATATTATTGGCGTCCGTTGGATCATCGCGGTTCGACTGTCTTACACCTATCAGAGCAGCACCGGTGATCTGCACAACAGTAGCAATAACATCGGAAGTGATGAAGAACCAAAGAATAAACTTTGGTGGCAAGAATGAATATCGTCTTCCGAGCCGGGGAATCAGTGCCGAGAGGATAGTATACACGCCCGCGGCAAGGAATACAGGCGCCGTGACGATGAAGAAGTAGTTGAGGATAAAGTACAGCAGATGGTACGGATCTTTCTTGGCTGAGAGCGAGCGAGCAACATAGCCCACGATCTCAAAGAGAAGACCAATCGGGAATGTGATAAAGTACCAGCTGCGGAAACGGATTGTCTGAACCAGGTGGACGACGAGGAAGAGGGCGAACCAGGCTGCAGCGAAAACGGCGAGAGAGAATGCGGGTGTGTAACCATA